CACAGATTGCGAGTCAAGTCGTATAAAACAAGAGAAACGAAATATTGCAAGTCTGGCATCGTGACTTGTGTTTACGTATATCTAGCCACAGTTGTTGATATTTATCTTGTGTTATTTCAAAAAACAGAATAAAAGATATACATATCTAGAAGCACGGTAGAGACTAACTAAATTATAAGGATAACACTGCTGTGACTCTAATCACAGGAACGAGCTTTTTGCCAAATCTGGGCTATTGCTACTGTTGTTTCGAGTGCTGGAATACCATTATTCTTATGTTTCTGAACAGATCTAAACACTTTTACAACACGTTATAACATCAACTTTATACATGTTTTAGATTAAGCGAATAAGCAGTTAAAAAGTGGAAAATTATTGTTCTTCTTCTTATTGTCGAAGAGACACGACATAGAGTGAACAAAAGAGGCACGAAACAAATTTCCACTGGATTTAACAACTGTAGTAAATATATATTAACGTTTTTTTATGATTATGTTTAATAATTATAATTGTGAATTGCTCTCCATAATTATTATGTTAAAACTGATCACATAAGAACCTCGGGAGAGACTGAAATTCTGAAATGGCATAGTGGTCTGAGACGCTGTATGTGTGTTAATAATTCCTCAGACAGCTGGGGTTCGAATTTCATACGTTATGGAATCTTGGTTTTAATTAATAAAATAATAATAAATAATAATAATAATAATAACAAAAAAAAATACCGACGTCTGGTTACATCTACAAAAACAGCCAAATTGGAATAAAGGGGGTGAGTCATATGAAAATACGGTGCGAATAAAAATAGAGACAATTTTTATAAAAAGGCAAGTACGTTGTGGTTAAGTTTAACAAGAAAAAACTGGGGAAACTTAGGCTCTTTTCGTATTGCAACTGGAACAAGCAGAAATATGAACATAAAAAGGGGTCAAGTTTTCGCTAATTTTCTCTTGTTTTTTTTTCATTACATTTTTACAAGGTTTGCTCCTTTACATAACTTGCTTCTTTTTTGACATTTTTATCCGGCTGATCCATTTATTATAACGTGACTGTTTTTGTACGTAGAAAATATTTTCATCACATATCGTATGTGAGGAGTTGTATGCATGATGTCTTGTTTGAATTCGTGTTGAGAGTAAGCAAAAATGAATGACACAGTTCACTCTTTGTCGTATGCGGTGTAGTGGATATTTTCATCTCGCTGTACTAAACTGCAGGAACTATTTTTTCACTCACAAAATAAATCTGAATAACTAAATATCATAAGATAACGAAATATGTCAACTATTTGTAAGAAACAAATAATAGTTATATACTTTCAAGATGGTTTAAATACGTAATTCACAACCATAAAAAAATACAGAGGCATTTAACTATCAGGAAATAGACAAGGTCTAAAAGTGGAGATTTGTTCGTCTTTCAGTATAGAACTATAAGAAAGATTGATGTGAATTTCTGAAATAAGTACAGTTCTGGCCCCCAAAATATAAATAATGGATTTCACTTACTTTCGTATGCAGTCATTTGATTTTAATAACATTTATTGTAAATGATTTCACAATTGAAATCTCACGATTGTCTGAAGTATGTTTGACTATGAATACGTTAAACATATAATTCAAAAATTATGGTCCCTTTGCCAGATACTGTAGTGTATATATATATATATATAAAAAGACTTAAATTAACTACCTATATAAAAAATAATAATTTCAAATTGTAAAATATTTTGAACGTCTTGAGGAAGCGGTACGACTGTTTTAGTGATAAAACCGTTATCATATCGTAATATAACTTTGTATTGAATATAAAATTGGATTCATAAAATGTAGATAAATATGTAGTAAGTTCGCACTAAACTTGGTGCCCATTCTAATGTACTTGTTGCTGCGCATTGTCTCTCTCTTTTCAAATTATATAATAGTTATAACCTTTAAATTTTAACAACTCTAAAGTTTTACTTCCAGCGAAATAAGTGCATTTTTTTGGCTACGTTTAATGAAGTGGTTTTATCCATATAGTGTAGATCCTGAATTTATTAGGTCAATGTGAGGTAGACTATTATGTAGAGAACTAAAGACAAAAATGCGTTTACAGTATCAATCTCCTAACCAGTAATCCTTAAGTTCGAGTTATCCGATACTCTTTTATATTCCACTTATATATACATATATATAACAAGAAACATTTTCGCTCCCTCTATATATATATTTGGGTATAGAGAAAAATAATTTATAACATTAGTACAAATTAATTAATTCATTACTCCGTATCGGTATAACCTTAATATAGTTAACTGCGTAGTTAACTCTACGGATCTCTTATAAATATTAGATAAAACAAAGACAGGAGTGACAGCCATTGTGAGCAACAGTGTGTCCGGAAAAAAAAATTCAAGCACTTTCATTTGGTGCTATTTTCTAGTTCTTGACAAACAAGAGATCGCTCTTTGAAAGCTCTGGGTCTCTAGTGTCATCAAATGAAGTTTTATAAATATTCTACAGCAGTTAAATATGCGTGCTTATTAAATGGGTAAATAGATGTGTGCAAATTAAAATATTCTAAGTGCGATTCGCATTAACTATCCAATTAAGAATTCTTTAATAACGTTGGACAAGTGCGCAAAGACAACTAATTACAGCATTTTGGTAAGAAAAGCATTATAAAGTTTATTTAGGAACAGTAAGGTTGTGATGATCGGTCATGGTTTGTAACTGTAATTGCTAATAAGTTATTATTTTCTTATTACTACTAGCTAGTAACTAATTAACTATCAGACTTAAATAACCGTATATGCTACCTGCCATGACATAGATTTCACATAAGTTTGGTTTAACGAGATTAGTTCAAGAGTTGTCAGGAGGTTGATGTTGACTAGCTGCCTTCCCTTTAGTTTGTCACTTCAAAATTATGGACGGCTAGAGCAAATAGCTCTCGTGTAACAATATGTGAAAGTCAACAAACAAACACATATTTCATTATTCCTGTAAGCGAGTTGCTTTTGCTGTAAAGAAGATGTCACTTGTGTCTATACTCA